TTTTAATCATCTCAGCCTGGGCTAACTCATTTAAATAAAAGAATAAAGTATCAGCCTCAACATAGAGTAAACCACTTCATAAAATGAAAGCCAACCCCCTTAAATCTATCACAGTATAAACGGGGGACTTTGGTACGATATTTAGGCTATAGATTAACGTCTTGTTTTCTTGCCTTCCTGGAGGAATTAAAGTGTCAAATAGCCGATTACATTGAGAAGGCTATACAATTTGCCTGTTGAATCATCCTTATAATTCTGCTAGATTTGTATACCATATGATACAGGGAGTCAATGGCAGGTACTGGTGATAGTGGGGGGGGGGCAGCTCAGCAACCGCCATATATCTCTGCCATAGAACACACCCTGACACACAGTCAGTGACACCTGGTGACTCCTCCTCACCTCCCAACCCCCCCCCCCCCCCCACCCCAGCTATAATTTACTGACACTGTATGAGATGAATGGGTCAGTGTGTTGATGACCGCTCCTCTCAGTCACCCCCCCCCCCCCCCCCCCCCCCCCACCACCACCACCACACCCCATCCCCAGTTTGCATGAAAGCCTGTTGGAGAGTTACACACTGCTGACGTTAGCGGTGCTGACGGATGCGTTTAATCCCACTAAGTGAGATGGTTCGGTGGTGGATGGAGCAGCAGTTAGCGGATCTATAGACCGGCCACAGAATGGATTCAGGGGGTTCTTATGGGTGCGCAACACGACACCGACCCAGCTCAAGAGCAAGCTGAGATCTTGTGAGATATAGTATTATGAAGAGGGGTAGACAAAGTACTTCAATTATGTCCTATATGTTGCAACAGTACCTTGGTATAAGTATGCAGCCTCCATTGACATTCTACTAAAATAAAAGTATTCAAGTACTTATATCTAAAATATAAGTGTCAAGCATAAAAGTACTTCATCATCTTGACCTCATATTTGTATATGAAGACACATTTTACTAGCATGCATTTCACTAGCCTTTTAGTTTAGCTGACATTGTTCAAATGCTGTTGATGGAGGAAGATGACAGCTTGACAACCAATCAAAGCAAGTGGCTAGACGGGTCAAGGGGTCTGATTAGATTCCCAAGGCCAGTGACTAGGCTACTAGGTTTTGAATTGAACCGGAGGGGGGCATCTTTCACTTCTATGGCTGGTGGGAGACATTACACCAGAAAGCTTATGGCGCAACAGCAAGGCCAGGTGAACATTTGCATTACAACAACGATGATGGTGGTGACATGACATCTAACCAGAGTGCTGACCAGTGTGCATGAAGGTGCATAGGGGCATAAGAGTGTAGGGGGCCTACTATATGCTCTGGGATGTTCAAAGACACACACACACACACGCACCACCACTAGAGTGACATTGACCCCCTACCCTCAGGTCAAATATGAAGAATGGCCTAGGGTCTCACATTTGATTAAAAATGTCACAGTCCCTCTTATACAGGGAGACGTAAATAACACTCATATCTTACTTTGCATCAGCTGTTTGACCTTCACCCCTGCCCGTCGCACGTCCAACCATCGATCTCCCCTTGCCACCACCATTTCAACAACATTGATTCGCCCTTGGCCCCCCCACACACACACACACACACACACACACTCTCTCTATCTCTCCCAACATTAATGTCTTCATCCTCTCTCCCTCCCCACCATCCTTGCAGTCAGAGTCACTGGGTTCCTAGAACACTGTCTCTTATTTGCAGCGTCCATACTGTGTTTGTGGGGACATCTGATCCTCCTTACAAAGTGCCAGGGTTAACTCATGGCTCACTCTGTGTGTGTATGTGTGTTTGTGTCTGTCTCTCTCTCTCTCTCTCTCTCTCTCTCTCTCTCTCTCTCTCTCTCTCTCTCTCTCTCTCTCTCTCTCTCAGAGCACTGGCGCTCCATGTATGGGGACTGTGAGGTGAATGGCATATTGTCTAACTGGGCTCTCTTGTTATTTGCACAGAATGGCCTGCTTCCAAGAACCTATATTGTTAGGGTTAGGGGTTATTATATTTCTTGTTATATTGACTGATAGATAGATAGATATGGAGATAGATAGATAAATAATAGATATTTAGATGTTTAGATAGATAGATAGATAGATATGGAGATAGATAGATAAATAATAGATATTTAATTAGATAGATAGATAGATAGATAGATAGATAGATAGATAGATAGATAGATAGATAGATAGATAGATAGATAGATAGATAGATAGATAGGAATTTATGCTTTCTCTTTTCATTGAAATGGTGATGGTATATTGATTGGGCCGACAGTCATGAATGTAGATGAAATGAGTAGTAGTGGATTTTTGTCAGCCTTTTCACTTCAAAAAGTGTATACCTGGTTAAACACAAGCCACCAGAAATATATTAGAACTATTTCTATATGAACGAATATGATGTTGTGGCCTATTTCTAAGAGCTGCTAGGCTTTATTCCAAAAACGTGTGTGAAATGAAACCAGTTGAAGTCGTCTGGTTCCCTATAATGGTCAGGCAAACGGCTTCTATTTCATCCACTAAGTGTGACAGGCTGCTTGGCCCATTACCGCATGCTCTTTTAAATGGCTGACTTATGTCATCATCAATGTTATCAGCACCAAATCTCAGGACCACGCCCCACAGAAGGCGGATGAGATGGCTTCTCCCAGCAGTTCATCAAAGCACCAAGGCCTGAGCAGCAGTGGCGCCTGCAGAAAATATCTAGTAGAGGGGCCAGAAAGGGCACAAATCTAGGAGTGGCACACTAAAAAGGCTATTAGGCAGTATGGGGGGGGGGGGGGGGGGGGATTCAAATATAATGCCCTATCCAATAGAAGTCAGATGGCATTTGGCATTGTGCATATGCAGTTGTACATTATTGATTTAAATGAATAGTACCTAATGTAAAATATCAGATAGAAGCATATTACGCATACTAAGCTTATTATGCATATGCGACTCGCAAGGGGGGGCCAGTGATTGTATCAGGTTGGCCATGGCCCCCCCTGGCCACCCCTAGTCGGCACCAGAGCAGACCCCTTCATCCTGCAGACACCTCTGAAGATCTTGGCTTACACCACTGGAGTCTAGATTAATAATGTGGTCGCTATTATTATTTGCTGCTTCCTAAATAAATCAATAAATCGTCCATTGTGATAAAATGCATAATACTAATAACATTACGACTGCGACTACTACTACCACCTGCCTAGTGCCTACTACTACTAAGAATAAAAGAAATGCTTTTAATAATAATAATAATAATAACAATAACAATAATAATAGTCTATATACTATTAATATGCTAATACGAATAACTGGAATTATTCTACTATAATTCCATCAGCTGACCACCTTCCAGATAGTAAATACACAGATGAATCAATCAATCAATCAATCAATCAATCAATCAATCAATCAATCAATCAATCAATCAATCAATCAATCAATATTGCGAGGGACAACAAAAATTAACCCACTGCCGCCACCTATTGGTATAAAATAGGAGGGACAGTAAGGACAGGTCAGAAGTGAATAGAAATCTACGGTTTGAAATAGGCCACCCAATGTAGGCTACGCCTATATATTTTATTTCGCTCCCATATAGGCCTAGTAGATATTTGATAGATACCTAGAAGTGTCACGACTATAATAAAATAGACATTGTTAAATATCATAAAATAAACTTCACATCACGCAACCCAAAGAAAAAAAAGAAACAAGAAATCATTATTTGACTGGTTTTCATTTTCCTCTTTTGGTTAATCCTCGTTCTCGTCACGAGCTTCTCGCTCACAGCCAATCACAGCCTTTAACCTGTGAGCCCGTATATCAGCTCACCTGTGGCGTCCTCTCTGTCTGCGGCGGGACGGGGACCGTGTTGGTGTTGGACTGAACGAACCGGACCGCCTCAACGAGGTCCGCAGTGACGGACACTAACCCAATGGTTGTTCTCTTATGAGCCGGTTCAAGTGGTTCGGGCTTTTGGCTTTAAGTGAGCCATGTTGTTGTGGTTTTGTACATTATGGATTACGTTAAGTGCTTCAAGCTGTAACTGGGGTCGACGAGCCGACTTGACGTAACGTATCACCGACGACGTCACGACAATGTGTGCTCTGGTAACCGTGGCAACGAAATGGAAACTGAGTAACCTGGAGCAACTATGGCGAGAGAACCACGAGGTTCACATTAAAGCCTTGCTGTTTCCAAAACCAGCACTTTGAACTGGTACTGTGTGTCATGCTCTTCTGGGCCAAACCCACTCTGATATTGTACAGCCTGTTGAAGTTATTCCACCATGATGCCCTTCTGGTCCAAACCCACTTGTTGATGTTGTGCAGCCCATTCACTTTACCACTTTACCATTTGTTATTTGTAATTCAACAAATGATGGGTAGGTGAAGGGGCAAGTAGATGAATCACAACACAATTCACAAAACAACATTTTTCATACAAAGTCCAGAGTGCGGACCATTATACCATATAACATGATGTTTGCTGAATCTCTTGCTGATTTTCTGGAAGGAACATTGTCCAAAATGTGAAATAGACATTCTATATTGCATTTCAGCAATGACCTGTCCTTCTGTACTGGATATCCCAATGTGTTTTATTGAACACAGCAAGTCGGTTTAAAGATTGATGACAACTACACCTGTTGACTAACACAGCCATATGCAGCTTTTAAGAACTTGAATACATAACACCAACAGAGCATTCCAAGAAGAGCCAGTTATATTCTGAATGGTGACCTTTTGATTGAAACTGTATAGTAAGTAGCAGGCTCACACTCTCACAACCCAGCACCTCTCACACTCTAAGTGAGAATCATACTCCTAGACCAACAAGCCACACTTAATTCAGGCATTTCAGATGGTGCCAATGATCATAGCGCAACCCCTTAAACAGCCTTTTATATTCCCAAGATTGCCACAAAGTTACATGTTCTTTATTCATTTGGACCTCATTAAAGGCTGACTTTCTCATGAAAGAATGATGTCTTTGGTACGTTGTGGTTGTGTCGCCGAGCGGTCCAAGGTGCTGGATATAGGCTGTTGTCTCTTCTGAGGAGTGGGTTCAAATCCCACCACTGCCAGGCAATCTCATTCCTTTAAGCACCATCTTGAAGGGCCATTCTCAAAATGTAATAGTGGGCCAGAAATGTCATGCCCAAATACTTAGAAACCCCCCATGAAAACATATTTCACATGGTTCAGTGTTGTTTATCGTTCATTCCAACTTGCCCAATGACCAAGACATTGTTTTTGAATTTACAAAGCAAAGGGGAAGAAATGCTAGATCCTAACCAGTAATCCAAGTTCCAAGATAATACATTTTGATATTTATGATTTGCGTATTGTACCAGAGTCCATCTATTGGAAGATTTGTACAAAGGCAAGTTAAGTTTACCACTTATTAAGTGAATTAATTGAAGCACTTGATGGTTAGTCTAAAATGTATTCACCATTTATTGATTTTTATTAGGTTTGCCTGACTGAACCAGAGATGTGGCTCATGCCGGCCTTCATAATGAGGTATATAATAATGAGGTAGGCTATTAATTTAATATTAAATACATTTTAAAAACTTAAGGACATTCTAAATGCTCAAATATATTGATGTACATGTACTAGGACACTGATGGTGTCCTTTGTCTGGATCGGCTGGTGGTCCTGATCATGAAGAGCACCCCCTCCTGGAAGGTTAAAGGCAACTTCCAAGCAGAGCTGGTTGAACTCTTAAGAGTTATACAGTTTGTAAATCAAATGCATCTTTGAAATGCAGGACTGACCCTGGGAGCTGTAGGTGGATGGAGGCCAGTCAGGACCTGATAAGGATGGGTCAGATACTGAAATGTAAGCGTTAATTTGGTATGGAATACAATGGAATATCGACTCCTCAGTAGCAGCAGCAACACTTGTAAAAAAACAAGTTAGTTTTGGTGGTCTTAGTTGTGGTTTACTTTAAACAAGCCTTTAGACAAGCTTCATATTGGTGACTTGTGTATTTGAGCCATCATTGGGTATTTTAAGATTACATTTTACACGTAAGCAAATCAAGGTCAGAATAACAATAACTAAGATACAAGATGTTTACATGTATGGCTGGCTATTGGGGAAGAGAATAAACTAAACTATTTCCATACATTTTACATAATGACCAGGGTCTGAAATTAACTTAACTTAACTTAATTAACTTTAAATAAAGTAATTTATTTTTGTACCTGCCAAATAGTCAAATCTATCTGCCATTGGCTGATGGCAGGTGTTAATTTTGGACACTGATGATGACTAATGCATATCCCTATGAACAGAGAATGAGAAGGAAGTGCAAATGTGTTTCAGAAGTGATGGCGGCGACCACAAAGGTGCCGGTCGTCAGAAGGACCTGCGGTTGCGGCTAGTGTGGAGTGCAACCAGTCCCTCTTCCAGGAAAGGCATTTTTAAAATCGAGAACAGCTGCCAGCAAGCGGTTGTATAGCCATTCGTCATTTTTAACTAGAAAATAGTTTACAGAAGTAACTGGGTATTTTGTAACTAGGGAAGTGGGTACTGTGAACTTACCATGCAACCGTGCTTGCTGCATGCAGAAGATGTCGGGAAGCTTTCAGTACCCCTACATCTTCTGAAGAATTTTAACACTATAATAAACATGTGCATCACTGACCTTATCCTGCTGTCTATCTTACTGGGTCTAGCTTTGCATTCTCTGTCAGATTATGTACGTACAATTATATAATCTGCAAGGTGACGTAGTCAGAGCGACGGAAATTAGTCCATGGGGAAGTGTTCCGTATGGTGGATCGTGGAAGAATAGCGAAATAAAATGTTAACTTCAAGTCTTGAAGAGTCGCGGCCAAAGCCGAGTCGAAAGACAGCTGTTCACCAGCAGCAGCAGCCATTGTTTACCTCTAACACGGAACCATCGCAACTCTGTCGTCATGGTAGCCCGGCTTCCGGCTCCGCCCCTCACGATGTGATTGGCCTGACAGATTTTCTGTTTCAAGCTAAACAATGACAAAAGGCTAGACCCCCCTGGCTGCAAATTAAATTTGCTGCCGCTAGGGTCGTCTAGATTTCTAGGCTACAATGCCATATTAATAATGAAAAAATCCTCTCCTTCCAGTTGGTAGTTCAAAGGTGACGTCTCTCCTGGGCTGGAGGGGGACGTGACATGCAGCAGTATGTACAGGGTTAGGGAGTGTTCACACCTAGCGTTTTTTGTGATAGGGAAATGTTGAGCCGACCGCTTTTTCAAAAAAAAAGAAGCTGGCAGCGCTTTTTGTCCTAAAAGCGCAGAGAGCGTTTTTTCTATCGCCTAGCAACGAACCCACTCTAGATCCCGACGTTACTCACCTACTACATATCTACAAAATGGCAGATCGGGAGGATCAACCCGATCTGCTTCCATATGGACTCTTTGTGGTGGGTGTTGTGGTAGAGCCTATTAGACATGTCGTAGATCTCGACATGTTCCGTAATTAAAACTATCAATCGCTCCACCGGCACTTTCCCAAGTGATTTGTCCGCCATTGTTTCTTGTTTTGACAGTTGAGAGTTTCCTTCGTGACTTATTGTCAATGTTCCGCTTGTGATTGGTCAGTTGTCAAAAAAGCGCCTGACGTCAGGCGCTTTTTTTTCTGACAGTTGAACTTTTTTCAACTTTTTTTTACGCTCGGTGCGGGAGAAAAAAGCGCAGAGAGAAGTGTTTAAAAAAATGCCGGGGGCGTTTTCCAAAAGCGCTCTGCTACATAGGAATACAATGTAAAAAGAGAGCTGGGAGAAAAAAAAAAACGCCAGGTGTGAACACGGCCTTAGGTGTCAACCCAGTCTCACGGCAGTTCGTGAAACTGTCACAAAATTAAACTATCGAATTCGTGCTCCACGCAAAGATTTCATTTTTTGTTTTCGTGCTGCTCAGGACGACTTTAAAACAAATTTATTTCAATAGGAGGCGTCTTTCCTGCTTGCACCACATATTTTTCAGCTGTGCGGTCGTGGCTTTGATGATCACATGTATGTGTTTTTAATGTCTTAATTGACGTTTAAAATTCGATATCTTGTCTTTCTGTAATGTATAGGTCCCGGAATCGCACTGTTTTCATGCGTAGGCGGCAGATAAGACAATAAGAGAACAGCACCACCTGCAGGCGACGGCGCGTTTCAGCAGCTTCCTGCGGGGATCGGCTCATTGCGCCACTGTCCAGGTAAGTTGTGTGCTCATAATATTCTGCTGCACGTGTGGCTGAAATGTCATTAATGATGACGTTTTTTGCCATAACTCGCATGGTTTATTCATTGGGCCAATGATAGCATAAATTTGACAGTTTTTTTTCACGGTGAAATTAGGCATGCTGGCTAGCTAACGTTCAACATAAGCTAGAGCAATGCTTCATTTCCATCAGGTGAAAGAAAGCATGGAGAAAAAGCATCAACCTTTTTAAAGAGTACAATGTGACTGTGGCTAGTAAATGTTCACATCATCTATGTTGAAGTTTTGTTTTAATGCTGTTTTTATCTCTCAGGCTTTTATTTTTTGTAAGGTGACCTTGGGTGACTTGAAAGGCGCCTTCAAATAAAATGTATTATTATTATTATTATTATTATTATTAAGTTCCCTCCCAACCTGCATGAATGTATCTGTAATGACAATATTAATTTAGCCTGACCAGCGTGCTGCACAGGCCCTTTAAATCTCAGTGAGGAAACCCCAGACTACGGTGGCCGAGAAGGGTCACAACACATGCAAACACCACAACACCTGCAAATTCAGAAAACACTTTCATCGATTACACAACACGTGCGATGCAACTTCCAAAGCACACGCATATTCAGAAAACACCTGCAAATTCAAAAAAACACCTGCAACCTCAGAAAACACCTGCAAACTCAGAAAACACCTGCATTGAGTTCACAACACGTGCGTTGCAAATATTCACAACACGAGCAAATAGGGAAACGAACTGCAAGTAATGACAACGGAAATGTTTCCCGGGGGACCATAATATCGGACGGACCCATAACCGGTTGGCGGTTCTATTCAATTACGGACGTCTTCAGTCTTGAAGACTTGTCGATGTGCTGTGATAACGAAGTGGTTTTGTGTGTGCGCTTTTCACACCAAGTCTGTCAGTTTTCTGGGGTTCGTTGTTAAGGAGGGTCAACTACAAGCGGATCCCGAAAAGGTGCGTGCGGTCGCTGAATGGCCGGTTCCGTCCTCTCGGAAGCAGCTCCAACGTTTTTTAGGGTTCGCGAACTTTTACCGTTGTTTCATTAGAGACTATAGTCGAGTTGCGGCCCCACTATCTAAGTTAACATCCACCAAGGTTGTGTTCAGTTGGTCGGAGGCGGCAGACTCCGCGTTTACGCGTCTCAAGACATTGTTTTCTTCCGCTCCGGTCCTCAACCATCCGGATCCGTCCTTACAGTTCGTCGTGGAGGTGGATGCATCTAACACGGGGGTGGGAGCCGTACTCTCTCAACGATCTGCACGAGACGGTAAACTTCACCCATGCTCATTTTTCTCTCGCCGTCTGAGTCCGGCCGAGGAGAACTATGATGTGGGCAACCGGGAGTTGTTGGCGGTAGTTTTGGCTCTCCAGGAGTGGAGACATTGGCTGGAGGGAGCCGAGCATCCTTTCCTTGTGTGGACCGACCATCGAAACCTGGCTTACCTCCAGACTGCGCGTCGCCTAAACTCTCGTCAGGCACGTTGGTCCCTCTTCCTGGGGAGATTTCGGTTTACCCTCACCTACCGTCCGGGTTCCAAGAACGGAAAGGCTGACGCCCTCTCCCGTCAGTTTGATTCCTCTGGGGCACAGTCGGTGGAGAGGAGCATTCTCTCCCCCGCCTGTGTCGTCGGGGCCGCCCAGTGGGAGATTGAGCAGGAGGTCCAAGATGCCCAGCAGGACCAACCCATCCCCGAGGGCTGCCCTCCTGGTCGACTGTTCGTCCCACCTGCAACACGCATGGCACGAGTCCAGAGTCGTGTGCCATCCGGGGGCTCACCGTACTCAATCCCTCCTACGCCAACGGTTCCGGTGGCCTTCGATGACCGCCGACGTTAAGGAGTTTGTGGCGGCCTGCTCCGTCTGTG